CAACCACGATGCAGACCAAACCTTAAAATCTTAAAAACCCAACCCCTTAAGCACTCTGGGCTGCTCTCAAAAACCCCATGTTGGGACACTGAGGTAGTCATCTGCCAGCTCTTCAATAAAAGGACTCCTCTTTGAATTTACTTATCTACCGATATGCCCTTTGAGAGATTCCTGGGCACGACATTTGAAGATACCAACTATATTTGAAATTTTATGTTTTGAGGTTGCTGCATGGTTGCTTTTTTTGAAGAATTTTATCAGCTGAAATATTTTTTTTTTTCAGACAGAATATCACTTTGCTGCCCTTGGTAGAGTTCTGTGTCATCACAGCTCACAGCAACCTCAACCTCCTGGGCTCAAGCGATTCTCTTGCCTCAGCCTCCTGAATAGCTGGGACTACAGGCACCTGCCACAACACTCAGCTATTTCTAGAGACTGGGTCTCACTCTTCCTCAGGCTGGTCTCGAACTCAGGCAACCTACTCACCTCAGCCTCCCAGAATGCTAGGATTATAGGTGTGAGCCACTATGCCTGGCCTTTAGCAAAAATGCTTTGATCCTCATTTATCCCCTTTAAAGTAGCTTTGTGTGGATTTAGGATATTTCATTTCCTTTCATGGCATTTTATGAATGTAGAATAATCTACCTAGTTCAAGATCACCCTCTTCTGTCAGTGTAGTGAAATACAGTTCCTTTAAGATGGCTTTTTTTTTTTTAAGTTGTGGGGAGGATAAGTTTTTGATGTCCTTTTTATTGTTTACCTATTCTAATTTCAAAATGTCCTACTCAATTTTTTTGTTTGTGTGTTTGTTTCTTAAAGATTTTTCTTTTGAAAGATGAGTTTTGGCCATGTTACCCCATGGCCAAATTCTTAGACTCAGGTGACCCTCCCACGTCAGCCTCCCAAGTAGCTGGGATTATAGAGGAGCACCTTGTGGCTTTCTTGAAGATTTTAAACAGATTCATTTCAGATTCTTCTGTCACTTCAGGATATAAATCTCTTATTTGTGACTTTCATTGTGCCAAGTGTGTCTTTTAACTTTTCTGTACAGCATATATTGCATGGGAATTTTCTCCCACACTTCCCTAGCCCATGAGACGGTTTCTTGGCTGCCTTGGCCTTGATCTTATGGGTTGACTAGACCCAACCTGTGAGGTCTGACCATTAAGTTCTCAGACTTGCCACTATGGGCTTTCACTGGCAGCCCTGTACAGTTTCATAACCTCAGTATATCAGCATCTCACAGTTATGTTCATGTCAATGTGTGGCGATATCTTGCTGAATGGTGTTCATTATTGTTGTTGCATGTTTTTGTGTGCGATCGCAACCACGTCAGACCTTCAATTAGAGCAACAAACAAACGTTAAGTTTCTTACTAAACTTGGCAAGAGTGGAAGTGAGATAGGGACATGTTAGTTCAAATTTATAAGGAGAATGCCATGAAGAAAACAGCAGTGTACAAATGGATTAAATATTCTTCTGAAGGGAGAGAAAGCATCACTGATGATGAGAGGTTAGGACAGCCAGTAACAAGCAGAACTGATGCAAATATGCAAAAATTTGTTGAATTGGCTTGGCGCCTGTAGCACAGTGGTTATGGTGCTGGCCATACACGCTGAGGATGGTGGATAGTCCCAGCTACTTGGGAAGCTGAGGCAAGAGAATCACTTGAGCCCAAGAGTTTGAGGTTGCTGTGAACTGTGACACCACAGCACTCTACTGAGTGTGACATAGTGAGACTCTGTCCCCCCAAAAAAAATTTGTTGAATTATGTGTCTAAATCCTTGGCTATGAGAAGCATAGCAGATCAAGTAAACATTGATAGAGAAGCAGAAAAGATCTTAACTGAAAATCTTGGCATGAGAAAAGTGTGGCTTTTGCATCAGAACTAATACACTAACTCACATGGTACTGTCTGTGAGAGAGTTCTTATAATTTCTGTGCCCTGAGTACAGTGTTATGGCATCATAGCTCACAGCAACCTCAAACTCCTAGGCTCAAGTGATCCTCTTGCCTCAGTTTCCTGAGTAGCTAGGACCATGGGCGCCCATCTCAATGCCTGGCTGGGTTTTTTGGTGGTTGTTGTTTTTGAGACAGAGCCTCACTCCATTGCCCTCAGCAGAGTGCTGTGGTGTCACAGCTCACAGCAATCTCCAACTCTTGGACTCAAGCAATTCTCTTGTCTCAGCCTTCCAAGTAGCTGGTTCTATAGGTGCTTACCACAATGCCCAGCTATTTTCTCGTTGCAATTGTCATTGCTGTCCAGCTCGTCCAGGCCGGGTTTGAACCTGCCAGCCTTGGTGCATGTGGCTGGCACTGTAACCACTGTGCTACAGGCACCAAGCCCTGGCTAGGTTTTTTTTTTAAGAGAGGAAGCCTCAAGTTGGTCAGATTCCTGAGCTCAGACAATTGCCTTGGCTGCCCGAAGTGCTAGGATTAGTGTGAGCCACCACACCTTCTGGTGTAAAGATTATTTATTTATTTATTTATTTTGAGACAGAGCCTCAAGCTGTCCCCCTGGGTAGAGTGCTATGGCTTTACAGCTCACAGCAACCTCCAACTCCTGGGCTCAAGTGAGTCTCCTGCCTCCGCCTCCCAAGTAGCTGGGACCACAGGCGCCCGCCACAACGCCTGGCCATTTTTTGGTTGCAGCCGTCATTGTTGTTTGGCGGTCCGGGCTGGGGACTCGAACCCGCCACCTTAGGTGTACGTGGCTGGCGCCTTAGCCTGTTGAGCTATAGGCGCCGAGTCGTAAAGATTATTTTAAATTAAAGACTTCAGCGATTGAATAGATACAGAAAAACAGGACTTCTTGGAGCTTCCCTGGTTTGATTGAAAGTAGCAACTTCTAGGAAGGAGGCGACCACAAATCCTCTTTCCCAGGAGAGTCCCTGCCATGAAAGGAAGAGAAAGACCCCCAGCTCCTGCACAGACGCCTCATCACCAGCTTTCTCACCTCTCACGTGTCCTCCTAAAAATCCATTTTCCTTCCTGAAGAAACCGATTTGCTCTCCTCACAGGAGTCTTTTTCCCTTTTCCTTTCCCTTGCTATGTTCGCTATATAAGCCCAAATTCTAACCCGCCCTGCGAGCGAGGGCGCCCCTGAGCTCTCCGGTGTGTGCACACTGAGCGTTGTCGTTGCAGTCTGGCCCGCCACCCTCAGTACACGGGGCCTCACTGAGCCGCAGGCGCCGCCCCACATTGCTTGTTAAACACCAGGGCTTCCTTTGTTCTTGCTAATCCATCTTTTGTCAGTTTGAATTCACAAGCCTCAGGTCACTGAATCCAAGAGGGCTAAGGAAAGGTTTTTCTCCCCAGCACCAGGAACAGGACTCTGCTTGGGACACTGAGCGAGTTGGGCATTTCTGTCACGATTCCAGACGTGTGGGTGCAGCTCTGTAGCCCACAGCTCTGGGGCAGGAGGCCCTGCTCAGGCGGCTGCTGCTGGGAGGCTCCAGCCCCACCATTTGTTCCTGTGGTTTTACACTGGCCTCTTGTTCAGGTTTTACTCTCTGTTTTGAGCATTGAAATTTTCTTCTTGTATCTTGAGAGAGGTGTAAAAAAATATATTCAATATCTCTTCTTTTCTTTCTATAGATTTGGAGCACAGGAAAGAAGATTCTGAATACAATTATTCCAAGATCTTTATCCAGAAGTTTCAAGTCTTTTAAGAAGTGAAAATAACAAGACTTATCTGAACTCAAAAAAAAGGTCACATCATCAGGGACAAAAAATGATCATGGCCGTATTATTTTTTATTATAAAGATCTGGGTATATAATAAATATTTTGCAATAATAGGAATAATGACTATATCCATCAAATGTAATATTATGCAGCTACTAAAAATAATGATTTATCAAGAACGCATAAGAAATGCTTATCATAATACAAGGAAGAGAATTGTTTTTAGCCATTTTTTGTTGTTTTGCATAGGTGTATTTTTAAAAAGAAACTACACTAAAATGTTACAGACGCTGGGAGGCCAAGGCGGGTGTATTGCCTGAGTTCAGGAGTTTGAGACCAGCCTGAGCTACTTGGGAGGCCAAGGCAAGAGAATCACTTGAGCCTAGGAATCTTAGGTTGCTGTGAGCTATGATGCCATAGCCCTCTACTAAGGGTGACAGCATGAAACTCTGTCTCGAAAGCAAAAAAAAAAAAAAAATATTTTTAAAGTGTTAAAATGGTTGTCTTTGGGTTTTTATTTATTTTCAAAATTTTGTGTAATGGGAATGCATCATTTTTATAACAGCAAGAGAGCTACATTACTATGTTGACAACAAGCTGAATGATAGAAGAATGAGATTTTAAGATAGGCATGCTTTCAGTGGTGACAGAGACAAGGTTAATTCTAAAATACCAGAGGCAGCTTTTGTGTTACAGGATTATTCATTATGCTTAGATGGATTTTCAGCATCAGGGTACAAGTAGCACCAGTTTTGTGACACAGAGCAAGGAGGCAGAGCTAGAAGGGCCTGGCAGATGGCAAGACCCTACAGCCTGCAGGCAGGTGGCTGGGAGCCAGGACCAGACGAGGGGAAGGGCACTGGGGGAGTATGTGGGTAGGGGCAGAGAGGAGCCAGCATTCACTGAGTGGTTGCTGAGTTTGTGCCAGGCGCTGTTTTGGCTCCTGAAAAATCAAGTGACAAAGACGTACATAGTTCTTGCCTTCATGAAACTTACACTCCAAGACAGGGTTTTCAAGCTTTCTTCCTTTCTCCTCCTCCTTCTTTCTTCTTCTTTTTTGGAAAGTGCCAGAGTGTAAGTATCTCAGGTTTTTTTTTTTTTTTTTTTCTTCAAAATTTTATTTATTTATTTATTGCAGTTTTTGGCCAGGGTTGGGTTTGAACCTGCCACCTTCGGTATATGGGGCCAGCGCCCCATTCACTGAGCCACAGGTGCCGCCCAGTATCTCAGGTTTTATGTGGCTGTGCAATCTCTGTCACAACTACTCAACTCTGCCTTTGTAGGCCAGCAAAAGCAGCCACAGACCATAGCTTGGGCGTGGCTGTGTTCCACGGAGTCTGTATTTGCAAAACCAGATGGTGGTGAGATTTGGCTAGTGGCCATAGTTTGCCAACTTCTGACCTAGGCGGAGGACAGACCATAAATAAGTCAGTAAGTCAATACGACAATTACAGATTATGATCATTGTCAGGAAGGAAATTTGAAAAGGCGATATGTTAGTGAATTGTTTCATGTTTTAGCCTTTACTGAGGCACAATATGCATGCAGTAACATGCACAGATCTCAAGGTATAGTTCTTACCGTGTTTCCCCCCAAATAAGACACTGTCTTATATTTATTTTTTCTCAAGAAGACACACTAGGGCTTATTTTCAGGGGATGTCTTATTTTTATTAAGTAAATACAACAATCTACATTTATTCAAATACAGTTAAGTCATCTTCTTCTGGAACCTGACAAGGGGAGCTGACCTTGTTGGTGTGGCTGGCACTAGTGATGTGTGAACTCCTTTCCCCTAGCTGTTTTCATGTGCGCAATAGGATGCCTGCGACCACAGTTAGCACACGTGCACAAGCACACCCGTGCAAGTGCGAATGGCTCAGAGAAAGGAGCTGTGGCACATAAAAGGTATTCCAGTCTTCCTTACTGCTCCGCACTGAAATGCATGCCGTGGCTATGCAGGTACGCAGCAGAGCCACACCCATCACTAGGTCATATTTTCGGGGTAGGGCTTATATTTAACAAATGCATAGAAATCCTGCTAGGGCTTATTTTTTAGATAGGTCTTATTTTCGGGGAAACACAGTAGAAACTCAGAACCCAGTCATGAAGGATTAGAATGATCTGTGCATCCACAGAGCTGGGTAAGGGAACCTGCATCCACATTCCAGGCAGAAGGGAAAGCAAGTACAAGATCCTGAGGCAGAAAAATGTCTGGTATCTTCCAGGAACAGAAAGGGATTCCATGTGATGCAGAGCAGTGAGCAAGGAATAAGGTGGGATGTGTGGGTAGAGGAATGTCCTACAGAATTTAGAGGCCATTGCAAACATTCTGTGTCTTGTTCTAAATGCCATAGGAGAGTGGTAGAGGGCTTTAAGCAGAACTAAAGGCCTGACTAAAGTTTGACAAAAGCTAATGTTTCACTTCTGGATTTTTCTCCAGTGGTGTTCATTTGGGGCTGGGAGACAGGGCTCTGGGGCTGGGATCATCCAGCCTCACCTGGAGTTGGGCTGGCCTGCAAGGAAAAGCCATAAGAGCACCATCACCATACACCAAGCACTGAACCACAGACATTGAGTTGTTTTGTAAAACACCTCTTTGATATGTTACTGTAACTAGATTTACTGACACCAGTTTCAGAGCACACGATTAGGAGATACTTTAAGAATTGTGCACTCTGGGAAGCTGAGGAGAGTGGATTGCCTGAGCTCGTGAGTTTGAGACCACCCTGAGCCAGAGTGAGACCCCGTCTTTAAAAATTGCTGAGCACTGTGGCAGGCACCTGTAGTTCCAGTTACTTGAGAGGCTGAGGCAAGAGAATCACTTAAGCCCAAGAGTTTGAGGTTGCTGTGAGCTGTGATGCCACAGTACTTTACCGTGGGTGACAAAGTGAGACTCTATCTCAAAAAGAAAGAAAAAGAAAAGAAGAAAAGAATTGTGCATCAGTCATAGACAAGAACCTGAAGAAAATCAGGGAGCAATCAGGGAGTTCAGAGTTCGTAGGTGAGGTCAGCTGGCAGGTAAGTAAGATAGTGAGGCGGGGGCTGTTGGATTAGGCTGCAGCAGGGCGTCAGAATGCACCTTTAGTGCCCCAGGGGAGACCTTTGGAGGAATGAGAGAAGTTTGGTTTGATTGTGTGTGGCTTGGTTCTGCTTTGATTTTCTGAAGACATTTTATAGGGAATAAGTTACACAGAGTGTCCCTGTAATGGTTAAAAGAGAGACAGATGAGAGAGAGAGGCAAAAAAAAAAAAAAAAAAAAAAAGGTGTGGATGAATAATTAGAGAAAATACCATTTAGGGTTCAAATCCCCCCTCCTTTCTTTCTCCCTCCTTCTTACCCTCCCTCCTTTCTTTTTAAAGTACACAGAGGGTGAGAGAGCAGGAGCAGGGAATTTAATCAGGGTGTGCCACCTTTATTAGGACTGCCATGGAGCAAACAAATACTAAACTATTATTCATGTTTATCTGACATTCAAATTCAACAGAGCACTCTGTGTTTTTAGTTGCAAAATCTGGCCATATGTGTACGCTCATGACTTTGGTTTTTCTACTTCCGCATTAGCCAGTGGAATCTCTTCCTATTAATTACTCCCTACTCATTGGAGGCAGCTGCCACTAGGAGGCAGCCGAGTGCTGTGTCCACCCAAGATGAGGCTGGTGTCAGCTTCTTGGAAACTCAGAGCCTCCCTTCCCCTCCAACCCTCTCTACATCCATTCCCAACTCGAAACACAACTTTCTACTGCCCATAGTCTTGTTTTATTAGAGTAGCTGAACTCTAAAGAAATACTTAAACTCCTGTTAAAATGTAAAAGGAACCCAGAATATAACATACAGCCTGTTTTCCTAATTAATTGCACTTAGAAATTAATTTGTCTTTGTTAAAAAACAAAAACAAAACCAAACTGAATTTAGCTTCAGCTAACTACTTTCAGCTCCTGTCATTCTCCTCTGTCCCTGCTGGCTGTCTGCCCCTCTCTCCACCCATCCCTTTCTTCCTCAGCCTGTCACTATGGTTACGTGGGGACCTGTTTCCTTGGCGCCCTCTCCATAGCCAGCTTCTGCAGCAATTTCCCCTATAAATCCCAGCTCTTCTAAGTTATCGCTGCCATCTATCCTCCTTCAATGGAGAAAAAAGGTCAGGGAGAGAGACAGCTGAGGTTGCAGCTCAGACATCAAAATTCTTTCTGTTAATAGAGATTTCCTCCAACTAATGTTTCCTCTTTTTTTTTATCCTTCCTTAGGAGGAACAGCTACTCCTGACGCCATACCTACTACTCTGGTGTCTACGTATATCCACTTGTAACAGTTATCTAAACACCTCTTGGCCTTGTGGCTAAAATAACACCGCGCAATGGTTTTCTTCTTTAAAGGCCTCCAGATCTAGAAGTTCAAAGGATCCCTTTAGCACACAAAAAAGAACCGAACACAGAACACCTATTCTGTCACATGGGGGAGACATCAACATAGAAAATGTCAACCTAATGAGTCTGGTCCACAGGGAGAGATTTTAGAAGACAGCCTAGGGCCTTGTAAAGAAATGCTAAAGGAAAACGCCCCCAGAATAAGAAACTTTCCCAGAGAGTTGGAGAGAAAACATTCCTAACAGTTTTCAAGCAGCAAAGATGATTCCAGAAAGTTTTTGGTACAATTGACATGGGCACAAAGATCAGAAACAGCAGTGTTTTGGTAAATATTTGGATTTTGATTTGTTTGGTTCCTGGTAATTTGAGATTCTGTAAGTTAGGTAATTTTCCATGCTTCTCATGAGATACACAGGATAACCTGCTCAAATTATGCAAATAGTCATTTGAAGGAAGAAGCAGAATTATGTTAGTCTCTTCTCTAATTCTATTGAAGCGATGATTCACAGGGCCCATTCTCAAAGACTCGCACCAAATGAACAAACAGTCCAGCAACATTTTAAAAAACATCATAAAAGGGCTGTACCCCACAGAAACATGTCTTAAAATCCCCATGTTTTTGCCCATCCATCCACTGTCGTATGCAGCTCTTTCTGGGTCTTTCTCTTCCAAAAGCGCCTTCTGATGTCCTCCTCAATCTAATCTGTGCACTACTTTGTGTTATTCTGCTTCCTAGGAGTCCCCCAAACAGGGCTCTGCTGGGAGGGCTGCAGGAGAGGAAGGAATTGAATAGAAAAAACGAGAACCTTCTTAAATTTGTATGGCCAGTGGAAGGGCTGGGAACACATTGACAGCAACAATGTGCCTGGTTGCACTTAACATTGCCTGGTTAGACTTAACACCTTTGATCAAAAAATATAAGTTTCCTTTGAGCATCTGAGCGTCTTCCCAGGCCTCCTGGGACAGTCACCTCAAGTACTCAAGTACTTGACAACTTGCAGTGGTACTTGGTACTTACTAAGACTCTACACACAGGCTATGTGAGTCTTGCAGTGTTCAAGGGCAGTAGCATTTAACTGCACTCAGCCTCCCTGCCCTTAACCAAAGAGAAAAGGGAGGCCATTTGTGTTGGTGTGAAGCCAGCTCTCTCACTGCACTAACAACCCTTACCTGCTCACCGTCACCTGAGTCGGAACACTGACCTTCCTGCTAAGAGGCTGGAGAGCAGAATCCTGTGGGGAAGATGAGAGCAGAGAGCTTACGGTATTATCCCCCACTTTTGTTTTGGAGGTGGTGGGCCTTGGCAATATAGGCAATGCCCTGGTAAATCTGTTGTGGCATGCAGGAAAGGGTGGGTGATTGTTCGTGCTGAATTGAATTAATTGTTGATATCTTGGCTGAATCCTTAGGAATCTGTCTCAGTCTTTAGGTTTACATGATCTGAAGTTGACATGCATGACTACTGTTCTTACTGTTCCTCTTGGAATGAACAGGCTTTGGGGGAGGAATCCAGTCTCTCCAGAGTCAATTTCAGAGAACAAAAGCTTCAAGAGGGATTGACTATGGGGTCTGTCTTCCGCTGAGTACAGTCTATTTAGAATACCAAATCCAGATGCTTTCTATTTATTTATTTATTTATTTATTTTTGAGACAGAGCCTCAAGCTATCCCCCGGGGTAGAGTGCTATGGCATCACAGCTCACAGCAAACTCCAACTCCTGGGCTCAAGCAAGTCTCCTGCCTCAGCCTTCCAAGCAGCTGGGACCACAGGCACCCGCCGCAACGCCTGGCTATTTTTTTGGTTGCAGCCATCATTATTGTTTGGCAGGCCCAGGATTAGAACCTGCCACCTTAGGTGTATGTGGCTGGTGCCTTAGCCACTTGAGCCATAGGCACCAAGCCCAGATGCTTTTTAAATTTTTTCTTCCCTTTCATACTTTTTCTTCCTTTGGCCCCTACCCCCTTTCTTAACATCCAGCTCAGGCAGGACCTTGACAAACCTTATTCAGCAAAACTAATTATTAGAATCTTGGTGGCCCCTTGGTATCACCTTAAAATTTTGAGCTATATTCTTGGAATCTCCAGAACAATCTTGCTGACCACTTTTTCCCCCACAAACCTCCATGCACATCAGCTGTACCTTTTCTGAAGATCAACCACCCTTTGTGATCCCAGTCTCCAGGAGTGTGGATGTCCTTGGTAGAGTCCATGGGCACTGTGGTCACTTGCTTGGGCCAGCTGGCCACGTAGACTTGTTCCGCTTGTTAACCATTGGGTCATGTACCCCTCCCCCCAAAAGGCTGACGTTCTCGCCCTCCAGCTGCCCTTCCTCAGCATTGTTTAACAGGCACCCAACCCTCCTGTTATTAAGAAGTGTGGCATGGTGCCATGTTTCAGATTCCAGGTAGAGTTTATCTAACATGCCTGGGTCAATGATTCTGGCATCCATCATAATAGATAATGGATTGTTTCTGGGAAGGGCCAAGAGACATGGTCAGAAAATATCTGAGCTCATCAATTCTGCCCTGACTCTCATTCGATTTGCTGTCAGATGGTCATATCTCTTGACCTTGCTCCCCCCACTCCACAATTGTGGTTGTTCCTGTTTAGGGGCCCCTAAACACAAAGCCACTTGCTATAGTGTAATAAGTATTATTTAGATTCACCAGAAATAACATCCTTAAACTTGTGGCTGCGAATTGCAGTAAAACAATGGTATCAGGTTGACCCTTTAAACTGGGAGGGGAGAAGATTTGGAAGGATACTGTTAGACTGACAGTGGTACCTAGAGATAAAGGAGACCGGGTTTAGATACCCCCAAACATGCTAGGTTATCGGGGATCAGTAATACATGGTACATGACAAATTTTATTTTATCATAAATAGCTCCTGAAGGTCTTGGGCTGTTCTCTCTGGCCCTTTCAAGCACACAAGTGCAGGTTGGTAGTGGGGAGCCTGGGACATTCTTCTGGGAGGATCCTCTTGCCACCTACCCTTTCTTCTTACCATGGAAGAGCCTTCTAGGAGGTGAGTGTGTTATAAGTGGTCTGTACTTTGTCCCCACATGAATGCAAATATTATAAACATGAACATCTGGCTCACATCCCTGATGACTGTGGGACATTTTGGCCTTAGTTTTAGGAGGGTGAAGCAAGAAAACCTTCATCAACCCAACAGTGATACCCCCAAGAGATGGCTGGGGTAGAATTGGGAAGGGTCTTAGCTCCTTTTAATCTCCATTATGGGGAATACTTCCCTTTAAAAAGGTTATCCAAGTATTATATGAAAATAATTTCTGAAAATCAAATAAAGGAATTCCAGTAAAAATAGCAGTCTCCTGCCCTGTCCCTTCCTTATCTCCTTCCCCTGGGGCAACCACTTCCAGCTGCTTGGATGCTTCTAAAGCTATGGACTGTATACTTCTGAATTCTAAATGGAGTAGTACAAATAGGTGAAAATGTCTTGCTTTATATGTTCTAGATATGCGTATGTTGATTTATTGTTAGGGCAAATGAGGATTTAACTTTCTCCCATACAACCTCTTAACTGCCCCTCCACTCCCATTTTCTTCTCTCTTCCTGTGTGGCTAGAGCATGAGGTGGCACAATACTGTAAACAGCAGGGGCTCTGGATCCAGACTGCCTATGTTTGAATTCTAGCTGTGTGACCTTGGGCAAAGGGCTTAAACTCTCTGTGCTTTAGTTTCCTTACCTGTAAAGTAGGTCATTGCCAATAATAGCACAAAGATTGAGGGATAATTGAGTGAGTGAAGTCACGGAAAGCAGTTGCATTGGCACATCCCAAGTGTTCCATAAGTATTAGCTGTAATTAAAAAATTTCTGTTAAATTAATATTCTGTGTTCATATTACCATAAACATCTGAATATTGGTCCCTACTAATAATTGCTTAGTTTTTCTAATTGTACAAGTTCTTTATTCTCTTGTTAATAATTGTTCTTTCACTTGCTTAGTTTTCTGTGTATCCATTGCTAATTTTCAAATCCTCGAAAAGGCTTTCAATACAAAAATATATCAAATAATCTGTCAGCTCTATTTTTTTCTCAGGACCTCCTTCCGGGAGTCCTCTACTGGCCTGTGTCCCCTGGTTCTTTTGCCATCTTTGCCGGCTGCTCAGCAATCATCCTGGAAGTGCCCTCTGCCATCATCCTCAGAATTTCTCTACTTCTCACTTGTGTTGAGTCATGTTTTCTCAATCCTAAGTTGTTCTTTATCTTGATTTGCTCCTTCATTTTGGGAAAGTACATCCTGTAGTAATTTCTTAAGAAAGGTTTGAGGAAGAAAATTTATGACACCTTGGGAGCCTACAACTGTCTTTTTTCTACCCTACAGCAGGGTGAAGGAAGAGGACTGGGGGTTCCACTGTTTGGTATGCAGGCTTTTAGAGAATCCATTTTTTTTCTTATTTGAGACAGAGCCTCAAGCTGTCCCCCTAGGTAGAGTGCTGTGGCATCACAGCTCACAGCAACTCACAACTGAGCCCATTTGTCCAACTCCTGGGTGCAAGCGAGTCTCCTGCCTCAGCCTTCCAAGTAGCTGGGATCACAGGTGCCCACCACAATGCCTGGCTATATATATATATTTTTTTTGGTTGCAGCCATCATTGTTGTTGGGTGGGCCTAGGCTGGATTCGAACCCGCCACCTTAGGTGTATGTGGCTGGTGCCTTAGCCACTTGAGCCACAGGCGCCGAGCCAGAGAATCCATTTCTGGCTGTTTAAGACCAGAGCTTTATGCTGCTCTCTACTGTGCCTGGTGTCCTCAAACCTGAGGACTTTTCTGGTCAGTTTCCCCACGGATCAAAGCCCTAGTTTCCTGACTACGGTAGTGATAGGGTGAGGGGGGCTCTACTTAATTGTGTCAAGCAGCAGAGGGGACCTATGGGTCTAACTCCTCCATGTAGGGTTCTTTGACCAATTCCTGTATCTTCCTGTGGAACTTTGTGAATCAAAAATCCAGAGCCTTGGGTGGTGCCTGTGGCTCAAAGGAATAGAGCTCTAGCCCCATATGCCAGAGGTGGTGGGTTCAAACCCAGCCCAGGCCAAAAACTGCAAAAAAAAAAAAAAAAAAAAAATCCAGAGTCTTTATAGGGTTCTATAAAAAGTTAATTTACTTCTGATTTATTTTTTAATTTTTTTATTTTTTTCTTTGAGGCAGAATCTTACTCTGTTGCCCTGGGTAGAGTGCCATGACCTCATAGCTCACAGAAACCTCAAACTCTTGGGCTCCAGAGATCCTCTTACCTCTGCCAGAGTTACTGGGGCTACAGGTACCAGCCACAACATTCAGCTAGTTTTTCTATTTTTAGTAGTGAAGGGGTCTTGTTCTTGTTCAGGCTGGTCTTGAACTCTTATGCTCTAGCAATCCACCCGTGTGAGCCACCATGGCCAGCCCGTTTACTTCTTTGTAAAATTTTATTTGATTGTGGAAGAGCACTTAATGTGAGATCAACCCTTTTAGCAAATGTTTAAATGTACAACAAAGTATTGTTAATTTCAAGGACAATATGGTATAGCAGATTTCTGGAACTTATTCATCTTGCATAATTGAGAGTTCATGCCTATTGATTAGCAGCTCCCTATTTCCCTGTTCTCCCAGCCCTGGAAACCATAATTCTACTCTCTGATTATGAGTTTGGCTGTTTTAGATCCTCATAGACATGGAATCATGCATATTGGTCTTTCTTTGGCTTTTTTCACTTGGAATAGTGGCCTGGAGGTTCATCCATGGTGTCAGATATGGCAAGATTTCTTTCTTTTTTTTTTTAAGGCTAATACTCTTCTGTATGTGTTAACATACACCACAATTATTTTATCCATTCTTTTGTCAATGGACATTTGGTTGTTTCCGTATATTGACTATTGTGGGTAGTGCTGCAATGAACATTAGGGTACTAACATCCCTTTAAGATCCTAATTTTATTATTTCTTAGACAATCCCAGAAGTGAGGATTGCTGGATAATACGGTAGTTTTGTTTTTAATTTTGGGCGGAGCCTCCATACTGGTTTCCATAGTGGCTGTACCATTTTTTTCATTTTCTCCAACAAAGAGTTTCAATTTCTCCACATTCTCACCAACACTTACTGTCTTCTATTCTTTTGATAATAGTCATTCTGACAGGTGTGGAGTGATAGCTTATGGTTTTGATTTGTATTTACCTGAAGATTAGTGATGCTGGGCATCATTTCATGTATCCGTTGGCCATTTATATATCTTTTTTTGGCAAAATGTCTACTCAAATCTTTAGTTCATTTTAAAATCAGTTTATTATTAAAAAAATAAAATAAAATCAAGTTATTGATATTAAGTTGTAGGAATTTCTTACGTATTTTGGATATTGACCCCTTATTTGCTATATCGCTTATCAATATTTTCTCCTATTGTGTAGGCTGCCTTTTTACTCTGTTGATTGTTTCCTTTGCTGTGCAGAAGTGTTTCAGTTTGATACAATCCCACTTGCCTATTTTTGCTTTTGTTGCTTGTGCTTTTGGTATTATATCCATGGAATCAGGGCTCAGACCAGCATCACAAAGTTTTCTCTTGTGCTTTCTGCTAAGAGTTTTACAGTTTCAAGGTGTGGTTTCTTTCTTTCTTTCTTTTTTTTTTTTTTTTGAGACAGGATCTTGCTGTCACCCAGGCTAGAGTACAGTGGTATAGTCATAGCTCACCGCAACCTCCACTGCCTGGGCTTACCGGTGATCTTCCTGCCTCAGCTTTCTGAGTACTTTTTAAATTTGTTTGCTTTTGATCTACCCCTGCCTGTCTTTAGGTGGCAGTTTTCCTCACTCTGTTATCAGTGACCACTCTTATTCTCCTCCAACCCTGTGCCCCTGTTTTTGTAGTGAACAATTGATAATTTCTTAATCTTATATAAAGTGCCATGCAAATACAACTTTGAGCTCCAGGTTCCAACTTGCAGATTCCATTCCTCCCGAGCCCTTCAGATACAGAATTCCTAAACATCTGTCAAGCTTCCCTGTTACGACTGTGATTACCCTTGGTAATACAGGTGAAAGCAGAAGTTAGCAAAGGCACCTTCTGGTTACATATCAAGGTGTTTCCTTGTCATTTTAAGTGTATTTTCTGTCATTTATTCATATATTCATGCATGTACACAACCCAGGAGTTAGGATCCTACCGCATATGAGCCTCTTTGTTGGTGATACAGTCATGAAGAAAACAGCCCCACCTGTAACCTGCATATTGCATCATATCAGTGTGGTTTTCATTAAGGCATTGACAAACATTTGTTTCTTTTCTCTACCACCTTCCAAACACATAGTAGGATTTCTCTATGACAAAT